TTGACTACGAAAAGGCATTTGATAGCGTGGACAGAACAACACTATGGAAACTTCTTCGACACTACGGCGTGCCTCAGAAGATAGTCAATATCATACAGAACTCATATGATGGATTACACTGCAAAATCGTGCATGGAGGACAGTTGACAAAGTCGTTCGAAGTGAAGACCGGTGTTAGGCAAGGTTGCTTACTCTCACCCTTTCTCTTTCTCCTGGTGATCGACTGGATCATGAAGACGTCAACGTCTGAAGGGAAGCGCGGGATACAATGGACATCTAGGATGCAGTTGGACGATCTAGACTTCGCAGATGATCTGGCCCTTCTATCCCAAACGCAACAACAGATGCAGGAGAAGACGAACAGTGTGGCAGCAGCCTCAGCAGCAGTAGGTCTCAATATACACAAAGGGAAAAGCAGGATTCTCCGATACAACACAGAATGCACCAATCCAATCACAATTGACGGAGAAGATTTGGAAGATGTAAAAACCTTTACATATTTGGGCAGCATCATTGATGAACAGGGTGGATCTGATGCAGATGTGAAGGCGCGGATCGGCAAAGCAAGAGCAGCATATTTACAACTGAGGAACATCTGGAACTCAAAGCAACTGTCAACCAACACCAAGGTCAGGATTTTCAATACAAATGTCAAGACAGTTCTACTGTATGGGGCAGAAACCTGGAGAACTACGAAAGCCATCATCCAGAAAATACAGGTGTTTATTAACAGTTGTCTACGCAAAATACTTCAGATCCGTTGGCCGGACACTATTAGCAACAACGTACTGTGGGAGAGAACAAACCAGATCCCAGCGGAGGAAGAAATCAGGAAGAAGCGCTGGAAGTGGATAGGACACACATTGAGGAAAGCACCCAACTGCGTCACAAGACAAGCCCTCACATGGAATCCTGAAGGCCAAAGGAAAAGAGGAAGACCAAAGAACACATTACGCCGAGAAATGGAGATAGACATGAGAAAAATGAACAAGAATTGGATGGAACTAGAAAAGAAGGCCCAGGACAGAGTGGGTTGGAGAATGCTGGTCAGCGGCCTATGCTCCATTGGGAGTAACAGGCGTAAGTAAGTAAGTAAGTAAGTCTATTTAGTGAGTAGATACTGCATACTAAAGCATAATCTTCACTGAGGTTTTAATTTAGAGCTCTAAATTTCATTTCGTTTGCTTTGATATCAGCCAAGCTGGGATGCGGTGCAGTGGCTTGTTTACAGAAAATATATGTAGATACCTTCAGATTATTTAAATAAAGTCCCCAGTAAAAATAAACGCATACTTGCAGCACTGACACACTAAATGAACATAAAAATTCGCACTTTTATTGACCATTGAAAAACGATGGTTATGCTCTCATCTAAATAGCATTCCTGAATTCCAACCCATGTCAGTTTATGATGAAAAACTCTGACTCTAATTTAATACCCTAACTCCTCTTTTTAACTTTTAATCCTAAAGCTTAACCCAAATATCTATCACAAAATTAAATTGTTCAATCTGATTGTGCAATATGCATTTAGAAACATAGATAACTCAATGATCTATTTTCTTATGTCTATGCTTGATGATAAGGTCTTAATACACCTACATATATAAACAATAAGCGTTTACAAAGTAAAAATCTTTACCATATTGCGAAATGAATACATACAAATCCCACAAGTAATCTGATCCTGTAGTCAAACAGAAGTTGATATTTTCACTGTAATCGATAAAAGGCAACAATTTATGAATGATAATAGCATTTCCACCTGTAAATTCCTATGGGCATTATATTTTGACCGAATTATAGAGATTTTATAATATTGAACAAAAAAACAGGTATCATTTATGTCATAATTCTGTCCATAAACTAGACAAAGAATGGATTTCAAATCATCCATTCCAGATGGTGTCCCAGATTTCCAAATAATTTGTTTCGCACAATGACAAAATATCTAAGTTTGTAACTGTACATAAGTGAAAATGTATCTCTCTCTATTTTTGTGGATATTTATGCATTATGCAGAATTACATCTAGCATTAATTAGGTGATGATGGTGATAATAATGAGGGTGAGTTACAACTGTATAACATTGAAAGGACTCAGATGAACAACGCGATTCAAGATAACTTCCAAGGATATTCGGAACAACGGAGGCGGAGATGACACATATGTATTACCATAAATAGTGAGGGGGGTATTTTGGAGTGAATGACATTGATGTACTTAAAATATCAAAGACAGTTTCATGATCTCAGTTCGTGTATTTACTGCACAAATTAATTGTTTTATATAGAATATACGGCTTGTGGTTAGTGATAAGATTTATGATGCACGTTTCACCTTATTAGGGACCCATCGATTGCATGTGATGACGTTTACACTGGGAATAGAAAATAATACTTTTCGCTTTAAACGATGTGTTGTTTAGAGAGCTAATGTATACAAATATCCGAGCATTTGTGCAATAGATGTGATATTTGTACCACTATTACAAAGAACAATTTAAATAATGCGATTGCTGATATTCCGGACTTAACTTTAATCGTTATAGTCCATCTGTTCTCGATAAAACTATATGATGGGATTTCGGGTGGAGGGTATATGTGCCAACAAAGACTGATCTAAATTCAGTCAAGAATATCAACAGAGGGATAATTCAAACCATTTTTGATAAGTTACATACTATTTAAACTAATAGACGTTGAAATTTTGATGTTGCTTAGTAATTATACAATTTGACAGCATGGTATCTCTGAATTAAGCTGAGTCATCATTACTGATCTTCGCTGATTCAATCGGTAGATATGACAGGATGAGGAAATGGAAACTAAACACCTTAACTATTTGTTTTAAACTCATGACAGCTTACATTTAAAAAATCTATAAGTTTGACATTTCAAAAAATAATCACAGTCAGTTAGTTTGATTAATATGAAAGGTGCGTCCTAAAAGAACGCCTGAAGAGACATTATCTTATACTGACTACTATGAATCTATGTCATAATGGTGAATTTATAAAGTTGCTAGTATTGATTTAGAACACATATAATCAAGAAGTCACGTATTCCCACAAATCCACTGCGAAATTGTAAGTTAATCAGTATTTTAGTAATGTTACATTTTCTAAACCAACTGGTTTAATCTTGAAACTTATAATATAATGCTGAACAACAACAAAGTCTCTTAAATCAAGGTTTCTACTAGAATTATCTAACTCAAAGAACTCGGAATCACTCAAAGTATCCGTCTGAACTACAATGTCTTCATCACTCCAAATCATTAACGGCGAAGAGTAATCGGTACATTGCTAGCTGAATGATGCGTTAGGGATACCTACGATTTTATGTATTGCAAGGGGTGGCGGATGGTTGTTGAGTTCGATACTGTGAAGTGTTGACCTTTATACATCTGACTTTCATTTCTAAAAGAAGAAATACATAGAAGAATAATGTTACATAGCCATTTAACTCTTGAATAGGGCAGCTCCACTGAATCCACTAGACATCGAAGTAGCACATGCAAACTATCCTACAAATGTCACCCCACCAACGATCGAAGAAATCAGGATGGTCATCAGACAACTCAAGAGTGGGAAAGCAGCCAAACCTGACAATATATCAGCTGATGTACTGAAGTCGGATATAGAAATAAGTGCAAACATGCTCCTCATTCTATTCAGGAAGATTTGGGAGGAAGAACAAGTGCCATGGACTGGAAAGAAGGATACCTCATCAAGATATCAAAGAAAGGAGATCTGAGCAAGTGCGAGTACTACACAGGCAGCATACTACTATCAGTACCAGGAAAATTCCTAACACAGTGTTGCTAAACCGGATGAAAGACTCAGCAAACGTCCAGCTTCGAGATCAGCAGGCTGGTTTCCGTGATGGTTGGTCGTGCACAGACCAGATCGCAGCACTAAGGATCATTGCTGAACAATCATTTGAATGGAACTCGTCACTATACATCAACTTCATTGACTGTGAGAAAGCAGTCAATAGTGTGGATAAGAAAACATTGTGGAAACTTCTTCGACACTATGGAGTGAGTAACTGAGAAAATCATTATCATCCAGAATTCATACGATAGACTACACTGTAAAATAATGCATGCAGGACTGCAGACAGTCGCATTCAAGGTGGGGGCCGGAGTCAGACATGGCTGCTTGCTCTCCCCCCTTTCTACTACAACCATCATCAGCAATGTACGGGTATTAATAAACAATTATCTACGCAATATACTTAATGTTGACCGGATACCATTAGCATCAGTCTACTATGGAAGAGAACAAAACAGCTTCCAGAAGAAGAAGAAGAAATTAGAAAGACGTTGCAAATGGATAGGATACACATTGAGGAAATCATCGAACTGTATCACGAAGCAAGCGTTAACTTGGAATCCTAAAGTGAAACATAAGAGAGGAAGACTGAACAACACACTGTGCCGAGAATAGGAGACAGACAATAAAAGAATGAATAGCGACTGGAAACAATTGGAGACAACTGTAAAGGATTGTCCAGGATAGAGTTCGATGGAGAATACTGGTGGACGACCCATGATCCTCCACGAGCGGTAACAGGATTAAGTAAGTAAGTTTTTATGAGGAGGTAAAACTAAACAATTTGGCCACCTAAACTGCTGTGTTTGTTTCGAATGAGATTAAGTTTAGTGACCGCGTACAACACAGCAGAATAAAGTCATTTGTGCTATTATTAATTTGGTCAGATAGATGCAGGATTCATCTGATATTTTTCGGCATAAAAACTCGGGTAATTAATTACTTTGCTAACGAATATCTACTTTTTAGTTTGGATTCAAAATGAACCATCAGATTGGATTTTCCCAATCACTTAGTAATAAAGAGTAAGAGTGAGATAGAAATTATGTTTAAACATGACATAAAGCAACAGTTTATACTGTTATTAACATAATAATATCATTTATAAAATAGTACAAATTGGCGTTGGTACAGAAGTATTCGTATAAAATATGTTACTTACTTATCCCCTGTTTATTAATTTGGTCAAGTTCCTGCGTAGTTTTTGCTTGACAAATTGCCGATGGTAAACGAAGGAATGATCCACGGTTGCTTTTTGACAGAACGAGAAAATCAGGAAGTAAGTAAGTAAAAGACTCAGAAGGAATGGATGGACTTTTTATTGGATGAATTATTTAATCTAAAAATCCTTTACACAATGAATTGTAGGTTGATGGCCTTAACCATTTAAGAAATGGTAAGAACAAGTAGACTTTATAGGTGAGTTTTTACGACTTTTATTGATAAAGAATTATGCAAATTTTATGAAAGAGATGGATTGTGGCTATAAGTGGAATTCAAGACGCGTACTTTATCCCATTTGAGACTCTCCATTTTTGTGTTATGTGCTATGCTACTTGTTGATGTTCAGTAGTTTGGTTGTTATCAAACATTTTTACAGGCTATGAACTGATAAAAATGTATATTTGTTGCAACAAACCATTTATCTCACCAGTTTATCCTATTATTTTGAAGTCTTATTGTCTTTTTATAATTTTAGCAGTACTTCACTCTGTGTCGCCTCATATTTACAAGAGAATTAGTGGGGTAAATGAAGAATTTTTTGACGTCATTATGAATATGGCTATAGATAGATATTTGAAGTTTTGCAAAAAAGTGGTGAGCTTTATTTTATCAGGTGAAAACCATTCACTTCATTCAAATACTGCCGTTTGTATCGCTTCTAGCAGAGTGAAATGCAATTAGATCATAACTCATGAATCTCGAGAAAAGTATGAAAATTCTAGATTATCTTATCTAACACATATACTTTGTAATGAACATATTTCAGGGCTGACCTAACTGAAAGCTTATACACTTGAAATTAATGTTAATAAAAGCTTCAATTGTACAGGTAATAGACACTTCTAGACGAAAAAGAATAATAGCGTTTCAAATCATCTTAGACAGATGATATGGTCTTGCAATCCTAGATGGATCATTACAAGACCAGATTGGTAAGTAATACAGACGTGCACTTAACTCCGTGTGCTGTGACAGACACATTAATCAGAAGTTCCACCCAAGAACAACAATAACTCCCTAAATGATATCAGATCGCAGAGAAAACAATCGAAAAAATTTAGTGACGTGTTAATAAATATTGACTTTAACAGTTGAATTCACGAGTCAGTCTAAGCCAGACAACCATTAAAAATCCGAAAGCACTGGACGGCCGTCTCGTCTTAGTACGGGACTCTTCAGCAGTGTGCAGCTAGGATCTCTGGTCCCGCGCACGAACGTGTAACCTCTAGACCACTGAGCCGACATTTAATGGTAATAATGTCTAACTTCAATCGACCCATACTACAATCTCCACAAATTCCTATGCCACTATTGACTTACCTTACTTGAACAAGTAAATAGAATTCTAATAAATGTATCAAACTTTTGAATATTAAACGCATTTTCTTATCTCCAGTCAAACAATAACCATCATGAGGAAGTATTTCAATCAAATTATGTTTGATTGGTAAATAAACATTGTGATGTTGATTTTTGTTGTAGTTGTCTTCAATGTAGTCTTTGTGTTTAGCATGTAAATAACCGTTAATTTTATTGAGTGAACGTATCGCTGTTGTTGGTGGACAAACACGAGTGAGTACCATACTTGAATTTTGTTGGTTTACACGAACGATGAAATTCTGAAAGGTAGAAAACAAAAGAAATTTATGACACTAAACGTAGTAACAAATTCCAAATGATTTTATATCGCTAGTTAATTTTTGAGTAGCGTTATTATCATTGGTAGTAATGAAAGTGGATTTTAAGAAATTTAACTTGAAATAGCTCAAATTATGGTGCACGCTGCTTATGCTGATAGATATAAGTAGTACGTAACACCAGTCGGAAGTGAAATGCTTGCCCGAATAGGATTGAATTGAAGAGAACAGGAAGGGAAACAGAGAACAGTTGGAACAATAACAGAATTGGAAGAATCATGAAGTATGTCATGAACAAGTGAAAGAAGATATACAAATAATGTATTTAGTGCATGCTTTTCATATTTTACAAAACCACTGTGTAATTTTGCACAAAACGATGATCCAATTTTCCACAACTAAGTTGTCATTCACCACAATATTAATTCATTTCGTTATTTTCATACTGTATAAGATAGTATAGGTTATGAAATCAGAAGTACATATTCAATTATAAAAGTTCCCAACTGACTCATCTACATTAGTCGGGTAAAAAATGAAATGATTATTGTAAGGAATTTGCTTTTATTTCAATAAATAATGGATTTGAAGATTTAACAGTTTGGTCATTATGACCATTTATATTCCAGTTAATATAATCAAGAATCTATAACGTGTAATTTCAGTTTTCATAGATAATTCTATTCATGTAGCTTTTTAAAGCTAATTACTTAAAACTAAGGCTGTCTACTCTCCCCCTTCCACTTTTTTCTGATGGTGGGCTCGATTATGAGGACCTCCACATATGAGTGAGAGCATTGAATACAACGGACAGCTTAGAATCAGTTAGACGATTTGGATTTTGCAGATGACCTGGCCCTTCTATCCCATGCACACGAGCAAACTTAGATGAAGACAACTAGTGTAACAGCAGTCTCTGCATCAGTAGAGCTAAACATAAACAAAGGAAAAACCAAGATCCCGAATTACACGGAAAACACCAATCCACACACTTGATGAAGGAGCTCTGGAACAGGTGGAAACTTTCGTGTACCTGGACAGTATCATTGATAAATAAGGAGGATTTAATGCGGATGGGAAGGCACGAATTAGTAAAGCAAGGGCAGCATTCCTACAATTGAGGAATATATGGAACCCAAAATAACTGTCAACCAAAATCAGAGTCAAAATCTTCAGTACGAACGTCAAGACGGTTCTACTGTATGAAGCTTAAACTTCGAGAACTACTACAACATTCATCAAAAATGTAAAGGTATATATTAACAATTTTCTACGCAATATACTCAATGTTCGTTGACCGGATACCATCAGTATCATTCTACTATGGGAGAGAACAAACCAGCTCCCAGGAGAAGAAGAAGAATTAGGAAAAATACGTTGTAAATGGATAAAAAAAACACATTGAGGAACTCATCGAACTGTCTCATGAAGTAAGCGCTAACTTGGAATCCTAGAGGGAAACAGAAGAGAGGAAGACTGAACAGCATATTGCGTTGAGAATCAGAAGCAAACATTAAAAGAGTGTATAGCAACTGTAAAGTATTGTCTAGGACAGGGTTGGATGGAGAGTGCTGGTGGGCAACCTATTCTACTCCACGAACGGTAACAGGTGTATATAAGTACTTAGAAGTAATTCAGTAGAATTGTGATTAGGCATTTTAATGAATTCTAATCTAAACTTTAACATAAAACAATGACTAAATCATATTTTATTATCATTCAACTCTTTATCAACTCATCACTTATTATGTAATTGTTCTTTTTTTCGTTTTCGTAAAAACAAAAGTGAACAAAATTAAATTACTTTTTATATTTATTATTATTTGTTTGTTTTATCTATTTAACTACAATAACATATTCAATTTTGAAAGAAACCCAGTACCGATGAATATAATTTCAAACTTTCAAGACAATTAATCATAATAGAGTTTTATTTATAGGGTTCTTTTTGATATTGTCATTGATTTAATTTAGTAATCAAGTTTTAATTTTTAATATTATACACAATTTTAAGATGGATACATTTTTATCAGAATGGGTTTTGTGGAGATTCTTAGAAATCTCACTGGTTGAAGTCATGAGTCAGTTGGAGCTAGACCACCATGGGAAACCTGCGAGCACTGGACGGCCGTTTCGTCCTAGTACGGGACTCCTCAGCAGTGCGCATCCACGATCCCGCACCCCGCGAGATTCGAACCCAGGACCTACTAGCTTCGCGCGCGAGCACTTAACCATTAGACCACTGAGCCGGCATCCAACGTTGTTAATATCTAACTTCAACCAATCCACGAAGTTGCGTCACCGTACACTATCGTCTTCAGTGAGCTGATATCTCACAACAGACCTGGTTGAACTCCACTGGTAACGGCTTCTCACTAGAACTCCAGGAGTATCTCCTGAAGTCAGTCACTAGTGAGCAGTTGATTATTATCACAATCGGTTTTGTGGAGATTTTTAGAAATTCCACTGGTTGAAATCATGAGTCAATTAAAGCTAAACCACCATGGAAAACCTGGATAAATTTTTATTTGCTTGTATCCTAGTGATCATTCAATTTTTCATCTTAATAATAATAATAATAATTATTATTATTATATATCTATATATTCAATGATTCAATGAAGATGATCAAATACATATTGTTTATTTTGTACAAAAACATCATTGATCACTAGTTGAAACAATATTTGAATGGTATCACAAGTCATTGATTACAATGTTTATATGATTTTTGGAAATGATGACAAGAAAGTAAAACAAAAAAGAAGAAGGCTTGACATTTTTATAATTTGATAAATGTGTACACACCATAAATCAAGTCAACTTTATGAATCATTTTAAACATCAAACTATTATTCTATTTATTCTATTAAAAATAATAATAATAATCTTCTTTAATGTCAGTCTTCAACTATTCTCATAATTTGTTTTTATAGCTGTCTAGTTTCTATGAAAGTTCATTAGTAGCCAAAGAATATGAAGTGAAACTAACTTTTTTTATACGAAATTTCTAGGATATTTATTAAATAGTTAATTAAATGCTAGTGAAAGAAAATCTTTTCATTTTTCAATATTATATTGAGTAAATAAAGAACATATGAAACCTATTCTACTATTAAATATTTACATGAGATCATATAAAGGAAATTCTTCATTGTAGGTATCATTACCAAGATTTGATTTGATAATTTCGAATAAATTGAGCATTAAAGTAGACTGTTATAAATAAATTAATATATTTGTAATATCCCAATGAGTAGAAATATTAAATTTTCTGACGTTTTGTGACTTAGTGTAAGCCATTTCTTCAGACAATAAATAACCAAATCATAATTAGTCCAAGTTTAAATAGTACAACAGAATAAAAAGAATATTTTGCGATCAATCAAAAAACAGGTCTGAATAAATCAATGTCTTGTTATTTCGGTCAAGGTGTTTCATAAGCGACATGTATGTAATTTGTGTGTATGTAAGTGTACACTGTTAAGGATGAAAATTGTATGATTTTTATGGTGAGGAAGGATTGAGTTTAATTTGTAATATGGTAGTGTGAATTGTAAATAATATCATACTATGTGGCTCGGATACATAGTCCAAGTAGGATGTATAGTAAGGCCTTCTTTTCTATTGAGAGCAGTAGGATTAAGCATTATATGGAACGCTTCAGCTACTCTCCTTTCTTTGTAATTGGAAAAACCTTTTTGTAATATTTTGATATTTTTTAAATCGATTTGGTGGTCGTTGAAAAGAAATTAAATATTTTCACCGATCACATTAAACCACGAATTCGGCTTAGATATGTAGATGATACATTTGTTGTGATAAAAAAGACTCATCCACTATGTGTTCTAAAAATTTATGACATTTGAGAAATAGTAAGTCAACCTATTGTCAAGCTGTTATGAAGCCCGAAGAAATAAAGTCATTTTGTATGCTAATATCCATTATCCAATAAAAATTAATAGGAACCGGAATTACCTGTAATAATAAGATTTCCTCTAACTAGATTAAATGAAATGTATCTACAATCGAACCCAGATGCGTGCATGGATATACAGGTAAGGAGGGAGGAAAACATAGAGACAAATTGGCTAGAACAACAGACTGACTATTGTAGTTAACAGACACACATATTTCATAGATGTTTTTCAGATCGATATCTAATTATATTTGGAATTGTCTTTAACTGAAGTGTACAAACATCTGGTTGTTTAACTGATTCATCGTATGCAACTAATTGAATAATGGTTGTAAGGTCAATATTAAGTAGACTTCTAGATTAGGTCACATGTCTGACCCTATCATCTATGCTAATCAGCTTTTCCATGCTAGTCCATTTGTTTAATTGTTCGTCAAAAACCACAAAATAATGTTCTGAGTCCATTTGATAAGACAAACGCCAAACTAAATTTCGGTACCATAAAACCTAGTATGAACATATGCATCCGATTTTCAACGTTCAACAAGCATGGAGTGCTCTGGATTCTCAGGTATTTTCTCGTCCATTTAATGAATGGGTGCTGCATGTAATTCCAATTATAGCTCTAATTTCACATTAGTTGCATTTTTCAACCAGGATGTTTATACGCGCTACACTAACGTGTTGGTAGAAAACGGAGGTAGACAACTTCAGACATTTAAAATAAAACCTCTAGTGAATGCTATACTCTTAGGTGTAACTTATCCACTTAATGAATAGAAAAAATGTCCGAAAATCCAGGGCACCGCACACCCATTGAACAATAGAAAAAAAAAAGATGGAATACTCCACTTTGCAACCTATGTTTACAATATTTAATATTTAATAACACAGTAAAATGTTTTCACTTGAAAGATAAACCAAAATTCTCCAAATATATGCTGGGAACTAAAAAATGCACTAATACATTGTTTTTTCTTTACTTTTTCCAGTCTTCTGTCGCTCGAGATAGTTGGATCGTTGTGTTACCGAAAAAAGTGATTGGTGATTTCGTTTATTCCTA